TCGCGATGTCTTAACGAGCATTGTTTGTCGGGTTGATCCTGACAAGCAATGTGAGTTATCACATCATGATCAACATGAGTTTGACTGTGTTGAGGATTTAAATGATCTAACTCGTGTCGCATTATATGTTACGGGTTCGTATTTAATAGCCTCTATTTTAAAACTAAAAAAATGTATTTTTCTATTTATTACATTTGCTATGATTTTAAAATTTGTAGTAAATTAAGTCATATATAAGGTCAACTATTTTTTAAAATTCATTTTGTGCGACACCCTTTAGATCCCTTGGATTTTAAGGAATAGTCTTGTGTGATGATCCCATTAAATTCATATGTACCTAGAAACTTTATCCTATGCACTTAGATATTGGTTAAGACATATTCTAATTAAATTGTGTGATAGACTAAGATTTTGGATGCTATTTAGTTTTTTTTGCATCTCTATTTATTTTTCTTTGTAGATTTGCTTGTGATGGCCAAACCTCATCTTTGTGTTTTATGATGTGTTCACATGCTTGATATTAATAGTATTACGTTAGGGTATTCTTATGTATGAAGTTGTCTATGTGATGATTTCTACTAAGCTTTTGCTTGTAGGTGTCATTTAGCTCCCTCGATAAAAATGTATGACTAATTATACATTGTATATTTGTTTATTTTCTCGCTAATATTACTTTCATGCAGGTCAAGTCTTTATTTTCTCTTTTTCCTCTCTACTTTTAGTCCTAGGAGATTATTGTATTAGAAATAAGGTACAGATGCGAGTTTCGAGGCACCAGACAAACAGAACCACAAGAGAGGGTCCAAGACTGACGGGCTCGCGTACTGTACCTTAATTCTAAATTACGTTTATGTACAAAATTAAGATCTGACATGTATAGGCAGGGTTTGACCATTTTTTTTTTGGATATGTTGATGACCCAATGACACCTGTTTTTTTATTATTTCACTTGGCTTATTCTACTGTTTTTCTTGCATGATTACATGCATGAATTGTTTCTCTTGTTTCTTTCTGTTTGTATCTGGGATAATATGAAAATTATACACTAGGCTCATTAAGGATATTAAAATTATAAATTTCGTACTCAAAATTCAAATAAAAATTTTAAAATAAGTTAAAATTTAGGATTAAAAGATTCTGGATTTTTTAATACTGATTTTTCAATTTTTTGCATGACCTTCGAGCCAATTTTAAAATTGGTTGCATATTATGGGTATAACCCAAGTCATACAATAGAGCATTCATAATATTTAAGGATTGTTCTAGATAATTGTATCATTTGCATGTTTCAGGGAGAAGCTCCTGTGTTTTTCCAACCTGACTTGTCTAACATATATTTCTACTTAGGTGGTTGTCTAGTGTGCATAGGTCGTTAAAAAGACTCCTCGCCAAGATGTGGAGTAAAACCTTTTTGTTGGAAGCATTTTCAATTTTGTAGTTGAATCTCTCCTATCTCCTCTTTTCAATTGCATCCTCGTCACTTTAGCATGTATAAGTCCCACCTCTTGGAACTCCACCTGATAGTCATATGATAGAGTTTTGTTCATTTGACCATAGCGCTTCTGATGTCCTTCTGGATGAAACAATTCATGGATTGCTGACCGAGGCTATTTGGCCTTGTTGGGTCGATTACTTTCATGACTAGATACATTTAGGGTCATAGTAGCTTGGGATGACATGTCCATGGTACTCTGACCCATCTACCTCTACCATCTAGGAATTCCTCCTCACTTCCTTTGACTACCCTTGATGAGCCATGTCACTCCTTTTTGCCTTCGTTAATATAATCTCGATGACTTGATTGTCAGTGAGCTACTGTTCGTTTAAGATATGACAATTTGTCCTCAGCTCTTTATACCTGGATGTGCTTTGACGTATCGTGATGATTCAGTTATTTCACAGGCTCCATATGCTTATGCGTTTGTTACCCATGTGAGGACAGTGAGAGACTTACTCTTCCCTTCATGTCTTAGCGAGAGCTTTGAAAGCATCAGAGCATTCTCTTGCGAGATAAATATCCTTTTATAGCTCTGTGCTAGTTATCACTTCTAATGTAAGAAAAACTCCCTAGATCAAGAGTATTCTTGGGCAACCCCATCATATAATTAACCAAATGAGATACGTTCCCTTGAGATTATTTTAGACCACAAAGCAGACAAACACACCTAAATATTTGGTTGGGTGTAGTTTATGAAAGTATTCTTTCGTGAATATTGACCCAAGGTGCTTCCGTTTGACCTTGTTTGGGTGGACATACTTGACTTATCATTGCGAGATTTATGACACTTTCTCTTGTTTGCATGTTTTTGTTGTACGTCCTGCTTGTTTGGTTCCTCTATTCTCTTGATCATTCACATGATCCAAAAGAGCGACTTATTTGGGTTATAACATTTGCAGCATAGTGGTCATTGACGTCTGGTGGTCGACAGCGATAAGGGGTGATGACTGACGGTGTTTGACGGTAGTCAACAGTTGGGAAGGTTGGTGGTTATTGCCTGATCTTCTATCACAAAGGTCATAGTTGGTTTCTATAAAGACAATAATTGGCCATAAATATTATGGTTAGTGGTTTTTAATTACGTCAATTAGCCATACAAGTCGTTGTTGAAAACTATAATCGTAGTAGTTGACCACAAAGACTGTAGTTTGTTACTACAATAGATGTAATTGGTTGCTACAAAGTCAGAGGTTAGCTATGAAGGTTGTAGTCGGTGGATACGACAATGATAATTGGCCAAAATATCGTAGTTGAAAGTTATAACAGTAGTAGTTAGCCACAAAGGTTGTAGTTGGTTGCTACAAAAGTAGCAATTGTCCATAAAAATTGTATTCAAAGACTAGGATAGTGGTAGTTAACTACAGAGGCCATAATTAGAAATTTTAATAGTAATAGTTGGTCATAAAAGCATTAGTTGGTTCTACAAAGGTAGTAGTTGACAATAAAGGCTGCAGTTGGACTATAACAACTGCCTGGAGGTAGGTGGTCACCAACGACAAGTGAGGACGGCCGACAGTGCTCGTTGGTGGTTGATAGTGGTAGTTAATTGTGGTCGGTAGCTACGAAGGCTTGTGGTCATATGTTGGGTATGAAATACTTGTTTTAGATGCAACAGTCATATTCATATTATTACAATTGCAAAACAGGGGTCCTCGATGTCTGGTGGTCGACAAAGGCAAGCAGTGACGACTGACGGTATTTAACGGTAGTCAGCTGTTGGGAAGGTCGGTGGTTATTGTCGGGTCTTCTATCCATAACATGGTATGGATTCATTATTTTTTTCTTCTCTAATAGGTTGCTACAATGGATGTAATTGGTTGCTACAAACTCAGTGGTTGGCTATGAAGGTTGTAGACAGTGGCTACAATAATGATAGTTGGCCAAAGTGGTCGTAGTTGAAAGTTGTAACAATAGTAGTTAGCCACGAATGTTATATTTGGTTGTTACAAATGTATTGGTTGGCCATAACAATTGTATTCGATGGCTGAAATAATGATAGTTAACTACATAGGCCAGAAAACTTTAACAGTAGTAGTTGGTCATAAAGACAATAATTGGCCACAAAGACTATAGTTGAACTATAATAGCTGTAAGTAAGGGTCACTCAAGGTTGGTGGTTACAAGCGACAAGTGGGGATGGCTGACGTTGCTCGCCGGTGGTCGACAGGTGGTGGTGAATGGTGATCGACAACTACAGAGGCTGGTGGTTATTTTTTGGGTCTTCAATACATGAGTTAGATGCAATAGCTATATTTGAATTATAACAATTGCAGAACAGTGGTCGTCAAGGCCCGGTGGTCGACAGCGACAAGTAGTGATGGCTGACGGTGTTTGATGGTAGTTAGTAGTTGGGAAGATCGGTGGTTATTACCAAGTCTTCTATCCATAACATGCTATGGAGTTCATCATCATCATCTCCTTCTAATTGGTTGTTATAAAGTATGTAATTGGTTGCTACAAAGTCAGTGGTTGACTATGAATGTTGTAATTGGTGACTACAACAATAATAGTTGGCTGAAGAGGTTGTAGTTAAAAGTTGTAATAGTAGTATTTAGCCGAAAATGTTATATTTCGTTGTAGTTCCCCATAAAAATTGCATTCAAAGACTAGAATAGTGGTAATTAACTACAGAGACCATAATTAGAAGCTTTAATAGTAATAGTTGGTCGTAAAAGCAATAGTTAGTTCTACACAGACAATAGTTGGCCATAAAAGCCTGTAGTTGGATTGTAAGAACTATAAGTAGGGGTTGCTAGAGGTCGATGGTCACAATCGACCAATGAGGACGACTAACAGTGCTCGCTGGTGGCCGACAAGTGGTGGTTAATGTTGGTCTGCAGCTACGGAGGTCGGTGGTCATATTTTGGGTCTGTCATACATATATTAGACACAACAACCATATTCAGATTATAACCATTGCAAAACAGGGGTCCTTGTTCACATATTATAACCATTACAAAACAACGACAACTGGTGACGATCAACGATGTTTGAGGGTAGTCAACAGTTGGGAAGAGGAAGAATGACATAAACAGGCTTACCTTCCTCAATGATTTCTGGTAGGAGCCGAGAGGATGGATGAGAAAGATGGGAGTTTCAGTGGTCTTTGTAAGTCATGATCCTGTCATTAACTTCCCAACTAATTCTAATGGTGAATATATCACGATGATTCCTTCAAGAAGGCGATAGTTTTGAGCGAAACCAGGAGAGGAAGGGAGATAAGCGATGGTTTGGGGCGGAGAATCATGAGGGGGGGGGGTAGTTGTTGGGGATAGTTTTAGCTTGAGAGTGAAAGCCATGCCCGAAAGCCACACTGAAATCGTTCGCTGCCGACCGTAAATAAAGACCTTCACCCGTAAATTTAATTTTTTAAGGCATTTATAGTTAATAAGTATTATTTGAGAAGCTTAATATGTAAAATTCCCTTGAAAAAAAAATATATTTTTTAAAAGAAAATATCCTAATTAAAATGTAGTCAAAAGTCAAAATTTGGCCTTCAATAGAAGCCAGGTCAGAGTCTCGGATCAGAGTAACCATCTCCACGATGGGGAGAAATGACGGATCTATTTGGCCTAGAATTTTTTTTCATTTCGTTCGGGCTGACGAGTTTCCAGATCTATATCCTTCTCCGCCGCCGACCCATTTGATTCATTTGCTGCGGAAATGAGCGTTTCAGTCGCCGAACATTTTATTTAGAAGGCCGCCGGCGACAATAGGTGGCTGCCGGCGATTCTCGCCGGCTAATAAAGAAGGTCCAGGTGATTTAGGGTTCGATCGTAGATGAGCAGCCTTCAAGAAAGTTGTAATTCGGCGAATCATCCAGGTCAGGTTTGTCCTTCTCGTTGTGTGTCGAGGATCATTCCTTTTTTTTTTTTTTTAATTTAATTTTTTTCCATCAATTTTGTGAACATGTTCTTTGCTAAAGAATGAGAAAAAAATTTAACGATAGACGATGGATGTGAAAACTCGAATCGAAGGAGAAGAATCTATAGCTGATCTCTTATACGAAGATAAAAAATAAAAGAGCCCTCGCTCCTTTGATTATTGATCGGAAAGATCAACGAAAAGCAGATCACCTTCTTTATCTACACCTCGTCCCACTTCGTTCCTTTGATTGTTGATCGGATCCAGCAAGAGCTTTTCTCGTCGCCTATAGGTATGCGGAAGGTGGTGGGCATGGCTGTCATCGCTCAAATCCCCGTGTAATGCTTTTATTGTCCCATAGGTGGGAGAAAATATTATGTGCGGAGGTCAAATACAGAGTTACATCTAGAATCCAATCCCAAACTGGGGAAATATTTGCGTACATAAGACTTATGCAGTGATGCCTACGTCCAGGGGTTATTGAAGGGGTACAAGAGCGTTATATCGGGGTTATACCTCTCTATAATCTCCCTGTAACCTTTTTGTAAACTACCTGTAACCTACAAATGAGTTCCGTGCTTCTGTCGTTTCATGGGCAAATAGTTACACGAAGGCTACAAGAGAATTACATGGAGTTGACAGGGGGGTATAACCCGGATATAACCCCCCTGTACCCCCTGAATAACCCCTGACGTACGCAGCGCTGCGTACATCTTATGTACACAAATATTTTCCCCCAAACTGACTGACATTTAGAAGATATTATTATACATAAATATTAGTGAAGCCCAGTCTGACCTCGTTTGTAAATAATATTAAAAATTAAAATTATAAAGTATGAGCCATTTGTCGTTTCAAATTCCATAGTAAAATAAGCGTTTTGAATCTTTATTCCTACTTTAGGATTTAGGGTTCATCAATTTATCCATTTTTTCACTATAACTCATATTCTTCCATTCTCCCAAGGTTAGGGTTCGTCCTTTTCTGCTTGTTCCACAACATTCACTTATTTTTTTCCCGCTAGTCAACATTCATTTTAGGGCTCTACCTGTCTCTAGGTGTCCTAACATTTAGTTTACAATTTGATTTGCTCGCAATGAAGAAGAGATTAGCTATTGACCCATCTTTACCTTTCTTCTCTGGTAAGTACATTCACAAATATAATTGTAAACATCACTTTATCACTATTTTTAAAGTTTTTTTATTTTCTAGATTCATATTTGTACTACGTAATAATGGTTGTTATCTTTTTCATTTTTTTTGTACATTTTTCTTCGGTACAACGTGGTTCTATTTATGTGTTTTTTTTATTTGTTAGAACTTGCCAACAATGATGCAAATCATAAAAAAATTGAATCAATTACAAATTTTTGGACACTTGTTTATAATGAAAAGGAGGTCCATGATTTGTACTGCAGTTACGTCCATTCATGCAGATTTAGTGTACGAAAGTATCATATCAGTTACTAGCGAAATAGAAGGACTATAAAATCAAAAGATTTCATCATATCAAAAACTAGTTTTTAAAAAAGGACCCATCTAAGCATTATAGTGAAGTTCCAGAAATCAGACACTAAGACTGGTTCTCATGTAATTATTAGATTTGTCATTGATCATGTAGGTAATTGGATTATTCATAAATTTATAGCAAATCATAATCATTCATTAGTCAGACCTAGTAATCAACACCAACTGAGATCACATCAGTGTATCAATGAAGACAGAATAATTGTGTTGCAGCCGATGTCACAAGCAGAAATTAGAGCGACTGATGCATTCAACTATGTTGTTGAGGAAGTAGGAGTACAATATGCAGGATTTTCAAAAGGACATGCATTTAATTTTATCCAGAAATAGAAAAGAGCAACAATTGAGAATGGAGATACTAATGTTTTAATACAAATATTCAATGAAAGATAAGCTGCAGATAATAAATTTGCATGAGATGTCTAATTTATGACTCAGACTGAATAACTTTTTTTTTGGAGTGATGTCATGACAAATTTTGACTATGACTGCTTCGGGAATGTCATATTTTTTATACAAGTTATCAATTTAATAAGTATAATTTAGTTTTTGCTTATTTTGTTGAAGTTAATTATTATTGACAAATATTTTGTTTGAAGTAGCTGTTTTATCAGAAGATGCAATTGAGTCTTCTTTTGCTAATTAAATCATTCATTCATATAATGAATGATAAGTATCATTTAATGATAAGACCAAACAATGATGAAAGCTTTAGAAGTTGCATTATCCCGCACTCGACATGGATTATGCAAATGATATAGAATTATAAAATTTAATAATTTTAGAGCTTGCATTTGCATTTTAATATATTTTTCAACTTTGATTTATTGCATTAAAATATGTGCATGCATTTTAGAAAAGATGCAATTACATCTTTTGGGTGTGTCAAATATGATTTTACATTGTTAATTGCATAAAATGTTTATATAACTGCATCATAAGATTTTCTAGATTCATCTTAAACGACAAGGTATTTGTGTGATTAAAAATGCTTGGATAATTTTATGTCTTATACTCGCACTTTGAGATATTTTTAAATTCAATATATCATCTTGAAATAATTGCAAATATTTTATTCTATATGCATTTACATAGTATAAATGCATCAAATATCAAATTATATCTTGCAAGAACATAAATTATAATGCAGTCACATCTTATAAGTGTGCCAAAATCTATGTAATTGCATTAAGCAATTGCATCAAAATGCATGTATATTAGGAAAATTAACCCACATGTGCTTCAACCAATATATAGATCTTTCCAAATATTTTGTTCAAGAATGTTGTGTGAACTAGTTTAAAAAGTTTATATGTGCTCTAACAAATATATAGAATGTCAAAATACTTTGTTCGAGAATTCTATGTTGGCTAGCTTAAAATCAAGTTTAAAATACCCACATACTTCGGTCAATACATTGAATGTCTTAGCAAGTGGTTCGAGAAGCTTAAGCAAAATTATAATATGATTTAAAAAATATGCAAAATTACACTAATATTTAATATTTGAAATTAAATGCCCGTATGTGTTCCACAAAATTAACTAAGTGCCTAACCTTGAATGATCTGGAAATGTTGTGCTGGTTATTTTGAAATTTTTAACAAAATTACTCTTGTTATGAAAAGCAATCAAACGAGTAACATAATTTATAAAATAAAGTTATTAGTCCAAATCAACTAGTTCAATCATTCTTCCTATAAGGATTGGAGTCGACGAGTCTAGTATTATTAATGATGTTCAAATAATAAGTGTAAAAAAATTGTAAATTCAAATCATTTAGTCCGATCTTTCTACTTATAAGATTGAAATTGTCAAGATTAATGTTTTAAATATATTAAAGTGGTATAATTTCAAATAAATTGCAAATATAAGTGTTTTTAAATATCCAAAACCTCGATGATGAGTTGATAGAAGATCTCAACTTGAGGGTGCATCTTTCAAAATTTTGCCTTAAAAGTTTAATTAAATAAATGCAAATTATATATAATACGAACTTGATCTTCTATAAGTAGGACATAGTTGACCAAGTTTATTTACAATTATATGTCAATCCTAAATCTGGTCATTTACAAACAAGTTGTAAAGTTGTCAGGTTTTAAATCAAAAAATCAAATTCTTGACGATAACCGTGTTGACTGAAAATCTCAACCAAAGGTCAACTTTTAAAGAAATTTTCAAATTAATTTCTCAAAAAAACAAATCAAAGCTTTCAAACTAAAATTAATTGTCTAAATGATTAAAGCAAGCTCCAAAATATTTAATTCAAAATCAATCACTCAAAAACTTAAAGCAATCTTCATCCATATTTACAACAGTTTGTCGAGGATGACAAGTATTTGCTTGATTTCAACTCACAAAGAGTTAATGTTCTATTGAGTGTATCATAATATTTATATGCAAAATAATCTCACACCAGAAGGACCTGGCCTGAGTCTTATGTCTGTGTGGTTTGGCATTACGACTCATAAAAAAGTAGCGGTTGCGACTAGAGTCCTCCGGCCTAGTCGGATTATTTTCTGTCAAATGACACTTTTAAATTACGGTCGTGGTTTTAGCTCATATATTCCCCAATTCTTTCTACTCTTTAAGTTGTGAACCATACAAGCACATTTGATTGACGTAAAACATTATATTAGCTAAATTTAATTTAAATTTGTTATTTTAGACAAATATCCGCCACCGATATATAGCGTTCCCTTGAACGACTCAACTGATGATTGCTAATAAGAATCATTTTGTCAAATTTGGTTGATTACCTCCGACTAGATAAATAATGGACCATGACGACCCGAGACAACAAAATTGGGGGGGGGGGGGGGGGGATTGTGCAGGGAGTAGAAGCTTGCACCTATTAGAAACCTAGAACCCCAGATCAAAAAGTTCTCACAAAATAACGGTGAACTATTTAAGTTGTGTCTTATCTACTATTTCGTATGTGTTCTGAAAATTTGACCCAAAGCATCCATAAAGCTCTCAATGACAGTCCCGGGCACGAATTTTCGGAGCTCAAATGTGTGAAAGTCTAAGCAAGTCTTGTGTTTTTCACCTTTTTGTGAAGATGCTAAGAATGATTGTGAAAGGTGTGAAGAGGGGAATAAAGGAGAAAGAAATAAAGAAATAAGAGGAGAAAATCACATTAAGTTATTTTCCATGATATAAAATATCATCCTGATGAAGAAATTGTACTTTTTAAGGAATTTAAAATGGGTTGTTCTGTAGTATTTGTTTAATCTTTTTTTTTGTTCGTCTCTCTAATATTTTTTCTTGCTTTTTATGAGAGACTTGAGCTACTTTATCTCTGTTGGGTGAGGGTGTACTTCGGTTTTGTGAAGGGATAATATAAAATATCATCCTGATGAAGAAATTGTACTTTTTAAGGAATTTAAAATGGGCTGTTCTGTAGTATTTGCTTAATCTTTTTTTTTTTGTTCATCTCTCTAATATTTTTTCTTGCTTTTCTTGAGAGACTTGAGCTGCTTTATCTCTGTTGGGCGTAGGTGTACTTCGGTTTTGTGAAGGGATGATGAGCGTCCTTTTATTATGCACGACGAATATGGATTCTTTATTAGTATGTTGAAATCTCTCCCCTCTTTTGTCAGTGTAGGCTTACTTAAGTTGAGCTATGTAAATTTGGAATTCTTTTTTTTTTTGTTTGATCTTTTAGTGGGATTAAGTCTTTGTTGTTGTTGTTGTTGATTTTTTTTATTGTTATTTTGCTTTCATTGTACTTATTTCTGGGTTGATGGTTCAATAACATGAATTTAGCTGTATTGTTTCTAACAATGATGAGAAAATAATTAATTGCAGAGTTTATTATTACACTCTAAGTTGGTTAAGCCATACCTTTTCAAGCAATGGTTAAGTCAACTCTTCAGCACAAATACTACTCAACTCATTTATAGCTTTGCTCTAGATAATACGGGAAGCATTGCAAAATTATCTTCTTAAGCATCAAGTTTGCAAGAGTTCTATGAACAAGATTATTTTTTGTTATTTTACTTGGATAAGATGATTCGTCAATACTACTTTCCATCATTCATGTTGTCTAGTTAAATGAATTATAAGTTTTCATTTTCAATTCGTATTTTAAATTTTGCGAGTAATGCTTTCCATCATATAGAGTGAATTATTGTTCCTAAGTAACGAGCCTTCAACAATGGATAGGCTATGCATGGAGGTGCTATGTTCTTCCTACATTGGATTGTTAACCCTTAAAATATTCAAGCATAAATATAATATTTTTGACTAAAAAGGTATATGTATCTTTTTGACAGGCCCTTCGAATGCATCAGAGGAGTTGCAAAAGCTGTTGAGTCAACCTGGCAACAGAGTTTGTGCTGATTGTGGGTCTCCAGATCCAAAATGGGTGTACGTACCTGACTTGTGAATGCTTATACTAACATATATATTTTTTCTTATTTGGAAGCTATATGAAAGATTGCTCATGTGTCATTCTTGTGTCTTCCTTTTTTTTTTCTTTGCATCTAGCTCTTACAACATTTCATTATTTATCCATCACCAAATGTTGTAAGATAATTTTTTTTTTTCCTTCGAATAACTGACTTAAGGATAACTTTTTTCGCGAATATTTCATAATTCATATATGTATGGTCAATATGATGCTTTAAAGATTTGGAGCATTTTGTGAATTCAAAAGGCGTGATAGTCAAATTTTACCAGTGGACTTATCCATTGCCTACCCAAAAGTTGAAGTTTTAGATTTTATTTACTCGTTGAGTTATTGTTTAAGCTATCAAAGTTAACATTGAATATTATGGTTATCTATTATTTGAATCCACATTCTTATTAAAATGTTATTTATTTATTTCTTGTATCAGCATTATTTATTTTTTTGCTTTTCTTGATAATTGAATTGAAGAAAATGAATTCAGGTCCCTAAACAATGGAGTTTTTATCTGCATCAAGTGTTCAGGCATCCATAGAGGCCTTGGCGTTCATATATCTAAGGTATTTTTTTAGCCAACATTTTTTTATCTTGTTTCCTGAAAATACCAACATCAACTTGAATTTAATTTTGAAGCTTGATGTTAGTATTGTCTCTGTGGAACCTGAGCAACCTTTTATTATAAGCTTATTAGATTTCATTCTTAGCTTGCTGAATAGACTATGCATCTTTAGCATTTTACATTGTAAGGTCCATTTTTTTGCATAAGATTTTGAATATTATTAGTCAATACTAAATTGGATTTGTGTTCTGAGTTAATAGAAAACATTTATTTCTTGAACACCATCTTTTTTCTATAGTTAATACGACATGGATGTGTTGTTTCTAAAATTAAGCCATCTTTATATTTTAATTAATTAATTGAACAAGGTGTAATTGTAGGATATTTTAAATTTTAGTAGATAAATTGGAGAAATTCTTTTGGAACATATTATATATCTAATTTTAAAATTGATTTTTATAAATATAAGGTTTCACAATATAAGTTAAATTTTATTTTTTCCTATTATTTTGTGATATCCTTAATAAAAAATAATGAAAAAAATTGTTTTATATTAATAATTTTTTTCATGTAAAAATGTTTCCAAGAAGTATCGTGTTTTATTTTTTTCAATTATGTCGTGTCACTGTATTATGTAGTGTTGCGCGTGTGTCAGGGCTTCATAGGTCTAGCATTGCTATGTCTAATCAAGCCTGACTAAGCTATGCCAAACCATGTTAAGCTAAGCCGGGTAACCTAAGAAAAGTAATTTCATGATTAGTTAAGCCATTTTATGTAGATCTATGCCAAGCTATTCAATTCCAAGTTGAGCCAAGTAAATTCAGTTTAGCCCAGCTTAAGTAAAGCCAATCCAAGATGGATAACGTAAGAAAATCCATGAAAGCAAACACAGATATATCCTATGTCAAGTCTAACATACCAAATGAAGCCCATCCAATTGATATTTTGAAAAAAAAAAAAAAACAAAAGTAAGATTTGAACAAAATGATTTCTATGATTGATCATCGGTAAAAGCATATTACCAATGGAATAATTTTCTTAATTTTTTCCCATGTAATAATAGGATAATTAATTAAGAAGTAATAACTAAAATTTCTATTCTTATAATTAATTGCTAAAGCTGATTCCTGAATTAGTTTTGGTTATTATGTGGGGTCAAAAACAATAAAAGGAGGTTTTTATTTGATTTGGTTCAATTTGCAATCCAATGCCAATGTTTGAAAAAGGAAATTTTAAGGGACCATATGGGATCACTTTTATCTTTTGTTTTTCATTTTTTATTTTTATTTTGTTTTATTTATGTTTTGATTTAAATTAAAACATGTTTGATTGTGCGAGTTATTTTTAAAAACACAAAACATCTTTTAAGTATTTTGAGTGTTTTTAAAAACAAGTTGATTTATATTTTAAAATAGAAAATGAAAACATAAAAAAATTATATCAACCAAAAATATTTTCAAAACAAAAAGAAAAAATAAAAATAGAAATAAAAACAAGAAACAAAAATGATACCAGCAGGGCTTTAAGAGATCAAGGGTGAGGAAATTTCCATCTTAGGGGAAAAAAATACATGTTATCCAAAAACAAGAATTAGGACTTTCCATTTATTGATAACAAACAACCCCTATCATTTAAGACAATTTTCTCAGTGTTTGCTTCTCGGACTCTTATCACACTTTTGCTTGGTTACTGTTTTCCTTTGTATTTTAGAATTTTTGTGGTTGGAAGCTGCTTTTTTTTAACTAGATCTGCTGGAGTATAATAGCTGTAAGAAATCCGTTGTTTGATTTTTCTTCCAAAAAAAAAAAAATCACTAAATAGTTTTATCACTAAATAGTTTTCAAAAAAGAAAAGTTATTTTACCGGAACAGTTTTATAATTATCTATAACAAAAAGCTTCAGTAACCCTAAACGGACTCTAAATGTATAATATTTCTGTGATAATGATAGTTGTGGTAGTTATACCCGATTTTATTCTTTGTTTTATATAGGATCTGATAGCGATGGGTTCAATAACTTTTGCTGATTTCTCCTTCAGGTTCTGTCAGTTAACCTAGATGAATGGACAGATGATCAGATTGATTCTTTTATTTCTGGTGGTGGAAATGCTGTCGTAAATATGAAATATGAAGCTTTTATGCCTGGAGATGTTAAGAAACCTAAACCAGATGCTTCATTAGACGAGCGTTTTGATTTCATACGGTACATTGTAGCACTCCACATCAAATTTTGTTCTTTGTGCGCGCGGTATACTGAATATATGCATTAACACTGATGAACAGGAGAAAATATGAGCTCCAACAATTTTCAACTGTACAGACTGTTTCTTCATCTATAGTATCATCTTTTGAATCACCTACGTCAAACAATATCCCCAAAAATAAGTACTTTGAGAAGCAACAAACTGGTATCCGTCGTGGTCTCATTCAAGCATTCAGAAACAGCTGGAGGAAAAAGGGATCCGAGCATAAAACATTTAGGAAGATGGTAATAGAATCAAGGAGTATTTACAAGCATACCACAAAATTCATATATATTTTCCTAGCTAATATCTATACTCTCATATTTACTTGCAAAACACTTGATATTTAACATCACACCAAAAATACCAACTGCAATATCTTTTTAGAAGTTTAAGTAATATATTTTCATGAATAGTTTTATGACATGAAGATGTTAAAAGTGTAAGTTTCAAACTTTGGGTGTTAGATATGTAAATACATAAAAAATTTGTGGTATGTAAATTTCCCTATAATAAATAAGCCTTATTGCATTGATCATACATTTATCTAGTTTAAGAGAGACCTAATTTAAATTCCACAATGAATGAATTAGGAAGTAAATAAACACACAAAATCCATTAAGGACTTTACGTGTGCTAGTTCAACTGATAGATATGTCCTATTGTTGTTGCTGCAGATAACTTTTTTTTTGTTTTTCTTGAATAAACCTTTAGATTTCATATGTACTGCATAATGATGGTACTCCTTGATGTGGGCGTCTCCCGCTACTGGAGCAGACACAGACCTCCCATGAGTAAGTGGGCAGAGCGTCTGCTCACCTAGACCAATTCGGTCCATGCTTTCTTGTGTTGTGGAGTGCCAGCCGGCCCTTGGCCCCACTCATTTTTATTCTATTATTATATATTTATATTTGTGATGTTCTAGGGCTAGGTTTTTTGTATATTTTTGTTGGGATAGCCATCGACGTCCCCAATATTCCGTTCTATGGTATATTCAAGAACAAGTGATGCTTCGCTTGTATCTCGCTCAGAGGTGATGACCATCTTTCTCTGCATCCCTCGTTGTGCTGCCATACATCTCTCCTCACTGCAACCGTTGTTGCTGTGTTGCCACACATCTTTCTCTGCATGCCTCGTTGTTCTTTGCTATCATCATCCCTTCCCCAATCCCTGCTTTCATCCTCTGAGATAACCGCTAAATCACCCCCCCCCCCCCCCCAAAAAAAACCCCGTTAGATATGTACTTGCAAAAACACTCGATCTTTAACATCACACCAAAAATACCAATTGCAATATCTTTTTTGAAGTTAAGTAATATATTTTCATGAACAGTTTTATGACACGAAGATGTTAAAAGTGTAAATTTCAAACTTTGGGTGTTAGATATGTAAATACATAAAAATTATGTGGTATGTAAATTTCCCTATAATAAATAAGCCTTTCCCTATAATAAATAAGCCTTCCCTATAATAAATAAGCCTACATTATCTGATCATACATTTATCTAGTTTAAGAGAGACCTAATCTAAATTCCACAATGAATGAATTAGGAAGTAAATAAACACACAAAATCCATTAAGGACTTTACGTGTGCTAGTTCAACTGATAGATATGTCCTATTGTTGTTGCTCCATATAACTTTTTTGTTTTTCTTGAAAACCCTTAGATTTCATATGTACTGCATAATGATGGCACTCATTGATGCGGGTGTCTCCAGCTACTGGAGCAGACACAGGCCTCCCACGAGTGAGTGGGCGGAGCGCCTGCTCGCCTAGATCAATTTGGTCCATGCTTTTTTGTGTTGTGGAGTGTCGGCCGGCCCTTAGGCGCACTCATTTTATTCTATTATTATATATTTGTATTTGTGATGTTCTAGGGGTAGGTTTTTTGTATATTTTTGTTGGGACAACCATCGACGTCCCCAGTATTCCGTTCTATGGTGTATTCAAGAACAAGTGATGCTTCGATTGTATCTCGCTCAGAGGTGGTGACCATCTTTCTTTGCATCCCTCGCTATGCTGCCAAACATCTCTCCTCATTGCAGCCATCGTTGCTGTGCTGCCACACATCTTTCTCTGCATTCCTCGCTATTCTTTGCTATCACCATCCCTTCCTCAATCCCTGCTTTCATCCTCAGAATCAACTGCTAAATCCCATCCCCCCCC